CAGTGGAGATTAGATGACTACCTCCTATCTTACTCCTACCTGAATTCTGCAGACCTGCTATTTGAAGATGCCATCTGTGTGAAACAAGCACTAATACAATCTCAGCTGCTGTTGTTTTCTCTAACTGTTGCAGAGCAGATGTCCTTGTGTTCCAAAGTAGCTTAGCTGGTGTGTTTTCTACTTGCTGAAAACCTGTGAGGAACAAAATGACTTTCCCATCCCTGTTAATGTAAGCGGTACCCCTTCATTGCAAACAATGTAGTTTGGTTTCTCAAATGTTTCTTTGTTCAGTTGGTGTACAGTATGTTTAAAGAGTATACATCACCTGTGCACCTTTTTTATTGAAATATTTAGTTTGATGCTGTATAAAAGGAATGAAAGTATTAGCTATCACTTATTGGTTTTACTCCTAATTCAGATGTGACATCTGCTTCAGGCTGATTTTAAAACTATACACATAAGTCTGGCGGAAGTGGACCTACTGTGTTTGTACTCTGTCTAGAAGCAGTTTTTTTTAACGTGAGCTTTTAAAAAATGCTTTTAAAAAAACTGATTTTCAATATCCATACATTTTATCATATGTACATAGTCACAATATTTTGGGTTAGTAAATGAAGCCCCTGATTTATACAGGAGAAGAATGTACTACACTTAAACATTAAGATGATGTTATAACTGAATTTTAAAATCTACTTGATAATGCAAAGTATGAGTAAGTGCTCAATTCTATATTTAGCAAACACACTTTTTGCAATGTTAGAGATTTAAAAGCTGTTGCTAATAAGCATTACAATATACAACTTTACAAAATTTACTGTTTAGAATTGATACACTTTTTACCTCCAGGAAGATGTTTGAAGGGTTACTACATTCATTATTGACATAACTTTTCCTTCTTTGTAGTTTGTATTTAAATGGCAGTTTCTTTATTGTTTTTGTTTTACGTAATATTGCCACATAAGCAGAACAAACAGATGCCAAATGAGTTAAAAGGTTTGCTTTCTGCAACTAAAAGGCTTAAATTGTTCATTTCTGAGTTAGTTAAAATCAGCAAACCCATTGTATGGACTTTCCATCTCATTTAATGGAGACTGTGTGACTGCATTTATGCTAACTGAACAATCTGGCACTGTTTGCTTGTTCTCAGCCCAGTGGTGAAGAACATACCCACTGAGACGTGCAATGGCCTAACAGGACATCTATATAATGTAATCAGTCAAGCGCTGAAAGGAAGTTAATCAAATAAATCAGCCTGTATCCACAAAGATGATATCAATTTTTTTTTACCCAAGTACACAGTTGGAATCTTGGACTATTGCCTAGTTTTCCAAATGGAAAGTCATTCAGTCCTTCAAAGACTTGGCAAAATAATTAGAGGTAAAACTTTCTCCCATTATGAGGTGGTGTCCTACAGGAGTGTTTGGGTAGTTTTGCCTTGAAGGGCTGACAACTTTTTTGAAATTCTACTTCATCCCTCTTTCAGCAGAGCTGAGACTCTTTGTGTCTAGGGTGTTTCTTGAAAGCATGTTCATCCACCACCGGCGGTCCATTATGGCTGACAGTCCTGTTAGAAAAGTCCATAAGCATAAAGGATTCTCATTTGTCTAATAAAATAAGTGTTTTATAAAATGTATAAGCCTTGAACTAGCAAGTCAAGTTTACTTTCAAGCTCTTTATAAAAATAGTTTTAGTACATTGTTTTTTTTATTCAATCTTTAAGACCAAGAGTGACGTACCACAAGAAACACTGTATAAATTTAATGCAGCTTTTTAAATCTCTTAAAGGATCACATATAGAGACTGGAAGAAGTCTGATTTTCATACTAAAAGGTGATTTCTTTAAAGCCTGTACTTAGTACCATGCTTCAGCTAATGTTTAATCGTCTCAACTTTCGGAGTCACTAAGCAGCATGTTAATCACGTGATCCTTTATCACATTTGTTCAGCTTACTATTAAACTGGAAGGCTCTGCCTAGGAGAAAAAGATAAAGCCAGTATCTCTATGGCAAAGTAATTGGTTGGTTTAGGGAGACACTTAGTTCAGTATTTTCCAGCCTCTCCAATATTGTCCCCACCCCAGACGTTTGGTTTGCTAAGAAGATGTCCTTGTTCGCAAGTGCTTGTAATTGTAACCATTCCTCTAAAACAAAGTCAGATGCAAAGTGTGTTTTGGATGAAAACACTGAAGCAGCCACCTGCAAATATCATTTCCGTGCAACAACAACTTCTTTAAAACAAATTTCACAGGGCTAGAGTTCTGGGGGAGGGGTTGCTAAGTGACTGTTTGGAAGAAAGGTTTGCCCTGTTACAGACGATAGAGTGTGTTGGGTGGGGATACCAACCACAAGAAAGCCTTTCAGGTATAGATACCATTACCTTGATATGGAGATGTATTCAGGGAAAGTGCCTCTTGTGTTTCTTTTAGTTGAGATGAGCACCCAGAGGAATGACTGCAAGAGGATTTGATTCGGCCTAGGAGAAAATAACACTCGTTTTAAAACATACAAAGCATTAATATAATGAATCGCATCTTTATGTAACAGATTGAAGTGTATGATTTTATTTTTTTTGCTTGTCCCCTTCATATTTTGCAATGGCCCACTTTATGTATGAGTTAATATACAGTATACACGCAGGCACATTGTTCTTTCAATAATCATATGTGCAGGAAGTGTCTGTCCGATTTTGCTACTTTATTTTGTCTTGTCTTTTTTAATAAGTGGCTCAACAGGTGGATCTCTTTGCTTTATCTAAGAAACAGTAAAAGAAAGTAAAGTGAATTACCAATAGATGACAAAGATCTAATCCAAAACTGCTGGTTAGAAATTGCCAAAAATACTTATTGACACAAAATGGGTTAAAACTACGAGTGTTTCTTTCTAATCTTGGTTGTCACAAAGCTGCCAAAACAGGGTATATTTGTGGAACTCTGTGCAACACTTTTTCCAATGCTGTTGCATAATCCTTAAATAAAGAAAGCCCTTTCCTGTTCCAGGTATTTTATATCCAAAGATAGACAGCTGCAGCACAGCAAAGCTTACTTCTGTAAAACTGATTTCTTGCTAGGAGGCAACCTGGAGAGGGGACAGTGGCCATGTTGGGGAAAATCTGGTCCCAAATCTTCAGTTACTGAGGTGAAAACAAAACTTGCTGGTAAAAAAAAAACACACACACACACACAATTCTCTCCGACCAGTTCTTGACATTAAACATCAAAACACTGAAACATTTAAAACTGCACTTATAATCTACAAAGATATAAGGAAAATAGCTCAATATTTTTTGTAGCAGGTGCATTGACATTTTATTGAACAGACATGACTTTTTACATGACTTAGGGAAACTCATTACACTGATTAACATTTGTCATCAATTGAGGGATGAATCTGAAAGTCAGTAGCCAAGTAAGTAGCAAATGTGGCCACTGTTTAAATGCAATATAAGCTGTACATCTGTAAAACATACTGTGCATCAGGTTACAGAGCATATACTGTATGTTATTCCGACCCGTTCCTATTGCAGAGCCTGGGCGAACATGTGCCTGTTCACTGGTCTTTGAGCCCTAGATGCCTCTACTTGTCCCTGCTCATAACACAAATGTACACTGGGGCTCAAGTCTTGTCATCAGTGCATTCATGGCATAACTGTCTATTTCTCACCTTGCGTGTAAGCCAACTAGCATGACGATGTGTATTATTTTTCTGGAATGTTGTCCCGCTTGCCATCTTTCACTAGCAGCAGAGCTCTGTAGTGGCTAGAAACTCCTGCGACTACTATCAGACTTAGTGCTCCTCAACAATTAGTCTGATTTACATAACAATCAACCTACAGCTCCACACTTGCTTTGTAAATCAGAATGGTCTATACAAGATTGATATATAGGATAACAGGACTTTCATTACAGACAAGTGCACCTGTGGTGCAGTTCCAACATAAAAGTGACACAGTGTACTCATTTTCAGCAGGGGATGTTTGCTCCTTTCTGTGCTTTTCTTCCTTGATTTTCAATGGGCTTGACATTGAAAAGCTTAAATCATGTCGTCATGTGCACAATCAACACTGTCGAATGAGGCCTATGTAAGGCTGAAAGTATGTATCATACCAAAGTCAAAATTATGACAAAAATTTTATTCAATATCCAAAAACCCTTTTAAGTACATTTAAAAAAAAAAACATATAAATTAATAGAGTGATAAGTTTCTTTTGATGATCAGAAAACATGTCTTCCAGGCCTCTTACTATAATAATTACTATACTATGCTTACTATAATGAACACAAGTAATATTTCCTGTGCTCTGTACGCTGTGAAACATCACCAATTTAAAAAGAAAACTAAACATAATTGAATACACTCTCACTCCTGCGATCATTTAAAGTTGAGAAAGTAACCAGAAATGATCTCAAAATCCTAAAAGGTTTTTATTTAGTAGAAATTGGAATTGTATTGGTAACCATGCTTCAGAAAAAGCTTAGGAGCCCCCACATCATTAAAGATGTATCTGATTTTTCAAGCGTTGTTCACACTCTATGGCTGGGTGAATTACTGAAGTGTCAAGGATTTTGCAACGAGAAAAAACAAAAACACTGACGGGAAAAAAACGTTATATGGAATTGAACAATTAATATTGTAAAATAAGGCAGATGCCCCTCCAGAACACATCACTACCTTTGTTTTTCTCTGTTTTTTTTTATATTCTGTACTTTTAATATTTTTAATGAGGATTAAACACCCAGGAATAAAATGTGTTTGTTGAGATTTAATGAGTATTTAAGTATTGTAATATTTGGCTTATTTGGGCTGCTGGGCTAAGGGCCAGCCCCATGGACACAGGATAAGAAGGCTGGGACTACATTGAAGAGTGAGGAGTTAACCAAAGGGTAGCTCTAAAGGTGGAGATGGGATGCAAGAGAGTTAATGTGAAAAAGAAGGATGTTCAGATGATATACACTATGTAGATTTCAAGAATGATTATGATTTAGAACAGCAGGGGCAAAAGTGGCTTGGTTATCTCTTTCCTGGACTTAAGGTAAGAACTTCCATAGCCTGTAAATTATTTCATGAAATAGTGAAGCAAATTTCAACCTGGAGTAAAGAGTCTTGCAAACACACTTTCATATCCTACATCGTGCAGTACCTAAAATAGGAAAAGTAGCTGAAGAAGGCTGGGTAAATGATTAATCAACTGTTATGATGTGCAATGCAGACAATGAGTCCAGATGGTTCTCATCAGGATCTATAATCTACTGTGATATAACAAAGTCAACACATCAAAGCTAAAGTCCATATAGCCCCTGGTAAATAACAGTGATCTAATGCAAATAAGACATCAGTACAAAATAATCTAATAACAAACAAAAAAACTAACATTAAGGGCATGTCAATATGCTCCAGAAAAGGCTGTTAACATTTCCTTTCAGGAATTAGGTATACAAGTACTTGATCCTTGGTGACTTCTTAAAATCCCTTGTGCAATTGAACAGACCTGTGTTTTATCTTTAAACATTTCTATGATACCCCACATGTTGAACGTTTGTCTAGGAAGTCACAGAAAGTTGTCCACAGTTTTCCAAACTACTTGCATTGAATACACTCAAATCAAATGCCAACATACAGGAAAGCATTGGGTTTCACAGTTAACCCATTTGTCTTACGGTGTTACAGCACACTATAATAAACAAAAGAAGGGAATAATACAGCAGTGACTGCTTTCTTAGGGTTGCACTCTGTACACTTTCAAATTCCAGCAACAGAGTTGCAAAGGAACAGTGTTAAAGAAAAACACAAATCTTACCTCTGTACTTTTTCTCTCCTTTTATTGAAGATTCCTTCTCTCCAGTCTTCTGTAAATTACAAACATATTTGCAACAGGGGAATTAGCAAGAGACGGTCTCTGAGAAAGGCAGATCATAGCACTTCAGAAAGACCAAGAGAGGGTTTTCTGTTCAGCTGCAAAAAAAAAAAAACATTTCATGATTGGCTGAGGATGAGAAAGGCCACCCCTTTAACTTTCTGCAAGATCCTAGCAACAGGCATAAGAGGAAGCTGTGAGCAGATGAGGGACTACAGTCAAACTTTTTTCTTCTAAAAACCCTCCTCTCAGGATTGGGTGTTTGTGAAAGGTCAGCAAAAAATACAGACTAAGAGGCTCATGGTTTCTGCTAATAAGTCGGTGAAAGAAGACAACACCCTGCTGATTACAACCAATCAATATCTTATAAGCAAAGTGACAGAACTTGAATGTCTTGCTACACTGTCAATCTGAGGGGACAGATCATTTCCATGAGGTGGAGTTTGGGTGAATCCCAGGAGGTCACTGACTACTGGGAGATTTAGAAGAGGAGAACAAGATACTAATGAAAGAGTATCCTCTTCCAACACTAGCCCTGCTTCTGTTTCTGAAGCTAAAACAATACCAAATGATAACAGGCAGAGAAGATATCACATTGACACTACGTAGGCCTTGCTTTAGACATTTAGGCCTCTCCTACTTTGGGAGGCTAAGTGTTATCCATGCTGATAAGCCTCCTGGTGTTTCCTTTCTTTTTATTTTGATACTGCAATGTTTCCATGACGCAACAACCACCGGGGATTTCAATAGGGGCAAGAAAAAAACATGCCTTGTGCTCGGGTGTTTTAATACAACAACCAAAAAAAGGAGAACATTCTGCATGCATGCAAAAAAAATATCACAAGTACACCCAGGAATGTTACACAATCAGTACTATAATTCCAGTGATATGAACAAAATTGCAGAGACTATATTTACTCACTACCTTGTGCAGAATCCTGTGGGTTTTTTTTTTGCCTGCATGCTTTAGAAACAAGGGTTTTAGGGTTTTAGAACCTGATTTCACACAAATGCTTGAAAAAGCTAATTTTAAACCGAAGAGATGCCACAAGTTGTTATACACTTTCTTTCACAGTCACAAAGTGTAAATCATGCCACCACAGTCTGCCAAGTGCAAAACAAATCCACCACAACAGAGATAGAGTCCTTCAGCAGGTGCACGTGTGCCTGTGTTAGAGGGAGAAGGGCCGAGAAAACACTCTGACACAGCAGGCAGAGGGAGAGGAAGGGCACAAGAATATAAAGTGTGTGACTGCCTTAAGATTACTGCATTTTCTCAAAAAACAATTACCGTATATCAGAGGGAATAATGTTAATAATTATTTGCATTTGTAATGAGGTTTTCACTCCAAAGGGACCCAAAGCACTTTACATATAAGAAAATATATATATATAACCTCATATCCTATTTCATTCACGGCTGAAGTTCAAGACCACTTGGGTGACACGTAGCAGCATTTCTGCACCAGCAGCCCCGTGACACAGCAGATCAAGAGGAGACGTTATACAGAAATCATGAAATATGAAGTATAAACTGCATGAAAATTATATTGTACAGTTCTTTTCCATTCAGATTTTTTTAAACAACCAAATGTTTTGTGATTTAGGGCTTCCTAAAATAACATTATGGGGAACAATGTCTTTTTGTATACCTATGTACAGTATGGCTTCTTCATATCCTAGAGTAATTGGTTTCTACTATCTCTAAAGCAAATATAAAATGGCCAGCAGGTTATGTTGCAAGCTCCCATCCCCCCATGTATTTTTCATAAACAGCCAAATCTAAAAGTGCTGTAAAGCTATTTAACATCAGAACATGAAACAAACACGTGATCCAGCCTCCTGCACAGTTCCACACAGTGGAGGATGCTGAGCATGCTCAGTGCCTGTTCCTTTTGTTTACCACTGTACAGTAAGTGGAGCAAAGGTCACCCTGCACAGAGGTGAACAGATTCTACAAAAGGAAATCAGAAATGTCTTAATTTAGAACTTGAAAGGCATTTTCCTAGACTGTTTAAAATTAATGTTCTGCTGTCCAAGAAAGCAAAGGTTCTTGAGATTCTTCAGAGGAGACTTTATTATTTGTAACATTTTTCTAGCTTTTGTCAAGGGCTCAGACATTTATTTTACACTCATATAGCAGTAATATTGGCAAAGTGTACAAAACTGCCTTCAGAGCAGTGCGATTGTGGTTCCTTTTATAGAAGTACAATGTCATTGTTTGCTGTTCCTTTTTCCAATGCTTCATAACTCTGACTTTTGTACGAAGCTTAGCTTGTCATGTTTACATTCTTAAAAGGCAGTCTCAGCTACTGGAATTTTCAGGAAATCGTTGACTGTGTTTGTGGAAATAGATGAAAAAAAAATTCCTCCACGAACAGCAGTCTCACCTGTTTCCCATTTTCATTTCAGAAAGCAAACACCTCTTAGGTCAGCTGACTGAATGATAGATAAGGCTGAGTGTAGTTTGTAACAAATCTTTAGAAATTTACAAATGTAATTAATAAAATGTAAACTTGAACACTAATTTTAAGCTGAAGTAGGCTCATGCATGCTTTGAAAAAGCTACTATAACAAACAAATGACCTTATATGATGTATAACCTTCCTTATTTTGCAAGGTATCTAATATCTACAGGAAAAAAAACAATATAATCTTAATTGTTATTTCAGAAACACAGAGGCAAATCTTACTGTCTGATTTTTGTCTAATGTATGACACCAAGGATATTTTCAGCTGTCTTTCCTGGGAAAGGGTGTTATTAGGCAATAGCTGTACAGTTTGTGCAAAGAACTGATATGATGCTCAGAGAAATACATAATACTAACGAGAAAGTACAAAATGTTCACCTATGACACTTGCTTTCACTCTGTGACAAATGTAAACTTTTCTTTTTATCTCTGTCTATGATGATGAAAGGAAAATAGAAAAAATGTCTTCATAAGGGTTTATCTGGATGTTAAATAATACCAAACTATTTTTTGTTTGAAGGGATATGTTTTTGTAATTAAATATAAGTAAAAACGAATTGTATTATATTGTTTGTAACTGAATATCATAATCTTTATATTCTTTTAACAAGGCAAAGGCACACTTGACTGTAGTTGCAAATTGGAATAACAAAAAATATTTTACTTAAAGGGCACTCTTTTATGATCTTTATACATTTGCATTTTATCATGATCTGAAGTGATCATTTTATCAAACTTATCCTGACTAAAAGAACAATGACAAATTGGAACAGAGATTATACAAAAAAGAGAGGGGAATATTTCTGCTGAGAAACTGCATAAATGCAACATTACAGATGGTGAACAGTTTGAAATGATAAAGTTTGGAATATGGCCCCTTGTCTCCACAAATTAAACTCTGCCGTCTTAAGATGTATACCTTTCTTTTGTTGTGTCAAATTCGGTATAATTATGGTCACATGATTCATTTAAAGCTGAATAGATGTCACAAACTAGCCGAAGATGTTACCAGGCGAGTGGTGAGTAGTCCCTCTCCTACAACTAGCTAAAAGAAAGAAGGCAGACATTTATCAGCTCAACCCTTTTATCACTTGGTATATTTAGACAGCTATAAATTTACAGCCTCTGCCCAGCCTCGGGTATCTCTCTTGGCCCATCACACATTTAGACATCCATTTTCTAAATCTAGTGTGGAAAGGCAACGGGTTTACGCCAACCCCATGAAGCCAGCAGTTGTTGAGCGAAGATCATTGACGAAGATTAAGCTAATTCTTGGCATGACTGTACATTGCTGATCCATGCACCAGCATGCTGAAACGTTGACCTACTTTTTGTGAAGGCAAGAATTTTGACTGAGCTGCACAGGCCAGAGAAGAGGGTTGCAGGCCAATCACATTGTGCCAACTCAGACAAGCTGTACTTTGCGAGTCTGTCAGCTTTGGTTTTAGCTTGCTGGAGGTGAAAAGGCAGCACAGCACTTCTTACGGAATTCTAATCTGCGTGATCTAAATGTGGTTATTAGGAAGGTATTCAATAAAAAAGTAGTCATTTTCAGCAAGAACTGTATTGATACACTTTTTGTGTAGTATGATTATTAATATTCACATTCTTTAAGTAATAATTTGACTTAATTTATAAACTGCTTGTACAAAATAACTTTCTTTATATAAATGAATAATTTATCATTACATAATAAGCTAATAATAAATGTATTCAGCAGTGCTATGAAAAGTAAATGTAAGGGTATAAGGTTTCAGGTCTCTAATTTGTATTTTAAGAATCTAAATTAAGATTAAGATAAATTAAATTAAGATTTACATTGTCATTCAAGGCCACAGTATGATTCCAGAACTATAATAATCTAAAGGACAGTTTTGTTCACCTGTTTGTCACTTAGTGTTTAGAAATAAATGCATGCCAAAAACCTTCTCAACATGGACATATAAATGGATGGTCACTTGCCATCTTACTTCTGGTTACCTAAAGGTCATCGTGTATGAGTGGTAAATAAACGTTTTCTGTTAAATGAAATAGCACATTTGTTTCATTGCACTTCATAAACATTTTATAGATTTTCAAATAATGATAGTTATACAGGAGTTATATGAATCCTTGCCTCAGTGACCCAACATTTATCATTCCTGTTAAAAACACACAAACACACTCCAAGTTATGACAAAAATAATCTTTTCATCGAACATCACAAGCTGTGCTGTTGTAGTGACATTAGTCCTTTTTGAAGGTTTTCTTTGCAGTCTTAACCTAGGCTGTTATTACTGTAGTTCTTTGATAAAGTTCTTATTTTTTGTACTTTTTTATTCATGAAAATGATTTTTTTCTTGGAAGATAGATATGTATTTAAAGGTAGCATACATTCCTGTAATTTGTAAAAATAGCAGAATGGTTTGTTAAAGCCTTCCCAAGCAGACGGAATGGATGTTCTCCTTAAGCAATTATTTAGGGACAAAAAGAAGCATCTGAATTTTGGACACATCATTACAAATCCTTGCCTTCAAATATATTCCTGTACATTTCTTCATTAATGATGCCTTTCAGGAGCACAAGTCTTTGCAACTAAAGTCCCAGAACAACCCCAGAGTTTGGCAACCTATTCAGGATGTGCTGCCAAGACCTTTTTAGATTCTTCTCATAGGTTTCTCCATGTTCTCACTCCCTTGACTTAGCCTAACCAGAAATACATTTCTATTCTAATCAATGAAGGGGTTATTTCTGGCCACGCTTGTCATTGAACCCCTTCTCACCCATACTGTTCTTGCTCTTAGTGCAGACAGCTGCATTTCTTCATATAGTTTGTCCTGCACAATCTGTGAAACCTTCACGTTTCTTTCCCCTCCTGATCCGGATAGTGGATATATCTAAAGAATAAGAACAGAGGTGTGCTGTGGAGACATACATTGCTAATTACAGGCACTTAGGACATTACTCGGCCAACTCAAACAACTGTGTTGCGAAATCTCTCATGTAGAACACTGACATGTGTTACACATGTACAGTATGTAAATGGAACCATGGAGATCAGACTAAGCTGTATCAGTGGGTGTGCTGGAGATTTTACAGCCTCGGAATTCTCTGCATGCCCCCTGGTGGAGACAGGTGATATTGATGCTGGTGCTATGAAGCCTGTTAGGTGAGTACAACCCCTGTCCTTGAAAAGGTGCTCCCACGTTTTATTTTGTATGCAGATCATATTTCATTGTTGCACAGTCTGTTGTTGTGCTACACCTGTTGTTAAATGTTACACCTTATACATTTTCCTGAAAAGGGCAATGACCTTGATAAGTAACCTTTATAAACCTAGCAGCCTATTCTGTGTGCCTGTTTTCCCAGGTCATCTACTGAGCTAATTAGTAGTAAAAGAAAACAGAACTTTTTGATAAACAAAATTAGTGCAGCTCATGTCAAATATACATGCGTTTTTTAATGACAGGTCTGAATCTCCTGTCGCATGGAGTCGTTCAATTAGTCCAATTAAGCCAATAACGAACTGTTGAGGTCCATTAGGAAATGAGTTTAAGTGAAAGTCTGCAGACACTGTAGCGTCCCGAAGAAGATTGAGACAGCCCTGTTCATGATCAGAAAATGAATTAGATCAGTGATGCTCATGTTCAGTCTTGGAGATGTGCGGCCCTGAAGGACTTCTAGGTTGACAAACGTTAAGAAAAAACCTATACTATATTTGATCTAATGGCATAAAATAGATTTTTCACATCAGCTTGCAAATTAGCTACTCCATGTAAGTGTAAAGACATACAACTCCCTTGCATACTATGTATTATTACAGATAGATTTTAAGTCAATGGAATTGATAGTTCAATTGCAAATCAATAACAGAATTGGAATTGTAATAAAACACAAGAGATTGACCCCACAGTTAAAAGTGTTTAAACAAAAATATGCAGATCTTCAATTTAGGTGCGCAGATGAATGTTAATTCTGCCCACCTGTTTTTTAGTTGTGTTTGAGGTGTTTTTCTTGCTGCATATACTACATAACTTTGTTATATACTGGATCATATTCAGAATCCCATTTTCCCCCTTTAATAGTTTTCTCATTATGGCTTTTGAATAAAATCTACACTTTTACTCTAAAAATTGTGAGCTGAATGTACAAATGTACAATATGCAAATGCTCTGTGACAACTATTGAAATAGCAAAGAGAGACACAAAGGTTACAAACTGGGAGGATTTATTAGGCATTATTTATTGATTGTCAAAGTCACCCTTACATTAATGATGTATGAATCGTAAGAACCAAACAGAACCAGAAAAATCATGATCTGGGTGTGTAAAATCAAACAGTGTATTTGTGCTTTTATGACTTTGTATAACCGTAGGCACGGTATGGCTTACACCTGAAGTCGTTTTGAATGAGAATATTAACTAGTTTAGGCACTCCTGTGCTTCCCTAGGCAGCGGTGAAACCCCAAAAAGACCTTCCTGTCATAGAGAGCTCCACCAACATTTGTCCCTGATCCCAAACGTCATCCGGGATAAAGACAAAACTAAGGGAGCAAAGAGCCTTCATAAAAGCCAGATTTTTTACAATGGAAGTTGTGGTTTTGACTGTTTCTCACTTTTTTCAAATATACCACTCGCTGAATTTCAACAGAAAGGCAACCAAAATGGTTTTGATATTTGATGGCAGTAGAGTTATACAAAGTCTGTATGTTTTCATAATACTGTCAACTGTAATAATACATTTGTACAAATCTGTCAATTTCACTGTTTTTTACAATTATCTCCTAAAACATTAATAAGGCTTTATAAGACTGACATACAGTATTTTACACTTTGAGTTGGAATAAGCACCAAATTGCAACAACTGCAGACACCTCATTTCAAAGTAATTGTGGACTTTGCAGGGCCATCTTTAAGATGAACACATTGCATTTGAATTCCCCTTGTACAAGATGTACCTTTTACAAGGTCATGATTACCTTATAAAGGATCTTCAAAAATGTACTTCAGCAAAACAGACTTCATCCTGACTATAATTAAGACCGATATATGTAGGTTTAATGCAGGTCATAGGAAAAAGTTTATTTCTTACTGATTGCTGGACCCACAGATTAAAAACATGAACTAAATCTAAATTTAAATGGTGTACAATGCTTATATACTGTAGGTGGAAAGGCTTATATCACTATTTCTTTATCCTTAAGGATGGGAATACCAAACCACCTTGTTGTAGAATCAGATGGTCACATGAGAACAGTTTAAGATAATCAAGAACTGTCATGAATAAGTACGTCCTCCTCCAGTTTAAAGTCTTATGATTTATGCTCTTGGAAAGTTGAGATCCTTTCCAGGCAAATGAAATGCATCTGCTCAAGATGTCAGATCCATTCCTGTGGCAGGTCCAGGCTGGTGCAGGTACCTTCTAATCCATGTCATATTTGTTGAATTTTTCCAACTGCTGCCTGAGGAATGAGAAGGGTGGACGGTCTTCTGGAGAATCCCTCCAGCAGGACAGCATGACGTTGTAAACGGATTTAGGGCAGTTTTCTGGGCAAGGCATTCGGTATCCTGAGGTTATAAGCTTGTAAACTTCATTGTTGTTATAAACTAAATAAACAACAACATGAAAATGGTTACAGTTAGAGACTAGAGGTGATAAAGTCTGATGTCTCAAACAGGTTTCTGTTATGAAAAACATGGGTTCTGGTCTTTGAATATAAAAAAATGCCCATTAGAAAATAACTTTAATCTCACAGCTAAACCCATATACAGTATGGGCTCAGAGATATCAGGATAACTAAAGCCCCTCCAATTCTAAAGTTTTACTACTTTTTCCTTTTATCCCAGTAAGAAGATATTTGCTGCTATTGAGAATTCTGAATAATTGAGATTGGCTTGGATCATCCTTTCTAGAAATTATACAATAGATCTCTAACTTTATGACTGTGTCATAATACTGTGTCAGAGCAAGAGAACCCAACTGCAGCTGATAATTGCAGTTTGCACACAACTGTGTAACACCAGGCAGTGCCAGTCATCATTGAGGGGTTAGTTTGATAAAACCAAGTGGTTGTGATAAGCAGAATCAACACAAAAATGAAAAATGACCATTACCTATGTGGCTAAAAGAAAAAAAAATAGTTTAACTCAAGAGTTTTAACCACGTCTCTTGAAAGACAATCACGTGACGAATCCTGTTGGTTTGGGATTTGTGTACATGTCATTGCTGTTTGGAGAATGAAATGTTGCAAAAGAACATGCAGGGATGCAGAAATACATCTGAACAGAGAGCAAGGTTGAGCATGGCAGGTACCTGGGTATGGAACTCCACCATAGGTGAGGATTTCATACAGAAGAACTCCGAAAGACCAGATGTCTGATTTAGTAGAAAAGCGCCCATGGCTGATTGCTTCTGGAGCACACCATTTGTAGGGGATTTTCTTGTCTTCAGAGATATAAAAAGGCTCCTGAAAAAGAAAAATAGCAGCGCCCTTCTATTTTCCTGTATTGCCTGATTTCCCTACCTCTGATTTTAAAAATGCAATTATTTTTCTTGTCATTAATGCAAACTTTTGCAGGGTTAAATGTACAGTTGTTGTTTGCATGAGGAACAATCAGATTGTTGCCAAATATGTCAGCTCCTTTGAAATAGCAAGATGGCAATCCAATGTTTTAACGCAGCTGGAAAAGTAAATTATATGGTTTCAGTGGAGCAGATAAGAGTTAAGACACAGAGTGAAAATGTGCCCAATGATATTTGTGCTGGTCAGCTTAGACTTTCAACTAGCAAATGCTATAGACAAAGTGCTGACTGATTTCTCAAGCATTTCAAGCTCACACAGGAAATTAACCAAATAACGGCATATAAACTTTCACTGTAACAGAGGGAGCTCTATTGAAAAACTGTCTCAGAGTAGAATATAATGGTTTTATTTTTTTAAAGTTTTAAAGGACAATTTTGTGCATACAGTATGCATACAAATATATTGTATTATGTTGCAGTAAATATAAATGAAAAGGTAAAGCTTTATGCTATGCTGAAAGGAAAAGAAAAGAGACTTTTTTGTTGGCTGTGGAGCCTTCTTCAGGTGTCACAAGCAGTACTTATAAACACTTCTTGTGATAGAGGTACCTACAAGTTACATGTTTTGCCAGATTGCAAATGTGTATAACAGCTAAAAAACAAAAATAACTGTTGAACCTCCATAAACAGTTTAATAGATTTGTTCCAAATAGGTTTCTTGGAAGAACTTGGATTGCAAGATTGACCTAATGCATGCTCTATATTTTTATATCCCAGAGTAATTGTTTGCCAATTGCAATACACACAATGGGTAGAATGGCCCCCTCTTTGCAACCTTTGTTATTTGATTTTATTATTTTGTTAACTAGAATTAACATTAATTCATCTACCTTTGTCACCCGAGCCAACCCAAAATCAGCCACTTTGCAGATGAGATTGTCTCCAACTAAAACGTTCCGTGCTGCCAGATCTCTGTGGATGCTTTTCTGGGATTCCAGATGGGCCATCCCATCAGCAACCTGACAGGCCATGTCTAAGAGTGAAGACATATCCAACCGCCTGCCTTCTGTACCTACAGATGACAGAAAAAAAGGAACAATTTCAGAGACTGTCTTTATGCCGTATTAGTACTGTGAATAACTAACGTAAAAAGCAATTTTACAAGGTTTAAAGGAAAATGAAAGTCATAAACCCACACAATAAAAGTGCTTACCTCTGAGAAAATTCAGTAAGTTCCCCTTTTCCATCAGTTCGGTGACAATGTAGTAGGAGTCTTCAGTTGTGCAAATTGCAAGAAGAGAGATAAGATGTTTATGGCGAAGCTTCTTTAGTATCTGCGTCTCTAACTGGAACTCTCTGTAATTCACATTCTCTGTAGCAGAGGAAAATAAGACTGTATCAATAGGGCTCTGGTAGAAAAGACTTGATAATGCAGGAAAGCTAGCATTCAGTTTGATTGAGATGTACAAACAACTTAAAAAGTTTAATGGTAGATTCGGAGACAAAAAAGGATCAATGTAATTGAATACATATAGCTCAAAACATACACCTTGAAAATATGTTTTAAAGAATCATGCTGAATCCCAGTGGGAGACACTGTTAAACCAGATAGACTGCATACCACAAAATACTTTTGTTGTGTAAACCTAAACAAAAAGGCTTGGTATGACAACTTTAAGAATCATGTCTGCCGCAGTGTTTTGGAATGATGGTGCACTGGGACGTATTTTAATAACACGTGCTTCATAAACAAATAATGGATTGATTGAAGCCTTTTCCTTACACCAAAGTAAGTACTACTCAGGTTCTTCAGCGTGTCCTATACGTTCTCAATTATGTTGATTACTTCAACGGGCATTCTCCAATCTCCAGGTTTATAAAGTAAATTAAGTACTCAAACAATGGCCATTTTGTGCTCTCAAAGCTCCTGGTGTTTCGTTTTACTTTTAAAAATGGCAATCAGCAATTATTTTTGTAAGAGCCACCCAATTTGGAATCAGCAATTGTGATTCACTTTTTCTTGCTGCTTCAACCCTTGTATCATACAGGTGAGATTGAGGTGATGGTGACTGTGAGGACATCTCAAACCCACACATCTCTAGTAGCACTGTTGCTTTAATAACCCCTGTCCCAATGAACGCATGAGGCATGAATCATACACTATGCATAAGCCTGTTAATCCTCACCTTTATTTTTTAAGACTTTTATTGCGACTCTAACTTGATTTTTCCAGAGTCCTTCATAGACATCCGCAAAATATCCAGTTCCCAGCAATTTGCCGAGTGTAAACTCTTCTTTAGGAAGCTCCCATTCGTCTACAGTGGAGTGTGATAAATCCTGTGGTTTAGGTTCTTTCTGTTGGGAGAATGAGCATTACGTTACAGGCTCTACAGTCTGGATGGGGTAACTCAAAGTCACTCAAAAAGCTGTTGATTATGTATTTAATAATGTTAAAGTCCACAAAAACTGCAGAGAAATAGATATATTCGTGTAAAGGATAAGCAAAATTAAATTATTTTAAAAATGATGGCATTTTCTAAATTGCCCCTACCAAAAACACATCCTATAGAGTGCCTAGAAGTTCCTGAAGGTCATTTTATCCTTAAAGACTAAAGCTATCATTGTCAAAGTGACACTGAGAATTCTAATCGAGCTCCATAGATCCAGGCTTCATGATGGTACACACCACGTTAAGATGAGATTCATATAAAGCCTGTGCATGCACATATTTGGAAAGTACCCAAGAAAGCAGTGCAAAATCTCCAGAACAACAATTAGACTGATGTCTAGTTTCACAAAATAAAATGACCACTACTGTTGTGCTACACGCAAATTATATTTTGCATAAAAAAAACAGTTCCTTGTCTCACACAGTTTTCATGACTAACAGCACTTACTCTCCTGCATCCTTCTGTCAGTTTCTCTATGATGGAAAAGGAGTGAGTCTTGTAGTAGTCAATGAGACCCATCAGGGTGGTGAAGCTGTTTCTCTCATTTAAACAGTACAGCCCTTCTGCATTTTGCAAGATTTTGAAGTGTTTCACTTTGTTGTCAGATTTAACTGTGGAGAACATTACAAATTGAAGATTATAAATCCTAAACCCAAACTAGAAATCCTATTCATCACAGTGAACCACATACAGTAGCTTCCAATTAATCTTGGGAGATAACACCTAATGTCAATTGAAAGTTCCAATTTCAGATAATTTCTGTACATATTCTATAAAAAAAAATTGAGGAAGTGTCCCAAATGTGGTAATAATTTCCTTCCTGTTAACTTTTATTTTGAAAACAAGACTATGCCTGAATTGCAACATAGTGTTTTCCTTAGAAGGAATCCTGTATTTTAAACATGCCCACATCCTCCTTTAAAAAGTGCAGGATAGGAGGTATGTTATACAAACATTCAAAATAAACCTTTTCATCCATTTCACATGTTTAACATTAATGATATACTGTATGTTTACCAATAGTTTTGGGAAATAACGTATTAACCACAGGAATATTTAACATGCAAATTGATTGATTTGTGCTTAAAAAAACAGAATAAGCTCTGGCCTGAGGAATCAGTGTGTGTGGCTCAGATAGAAATATCTTGCTTGTGGATTTTCTATAAAGTCACTATAAAGAAACTGCAAACTTGTAATTTGCAATTGCAAGTGGTTAAATGTTTGTATGTAATCAAAGGCCTAAGCAGATTTCATTATGTAAAACATGAAATTAATGGCAGACACAAGGTTACATATTGAACTGCAGTATGTCTACACATGCAAATTGGGGGTGGTTGACTAAACTTTGTCATGATTATATGCAACAAAAGAGAATTGCATGTGCACAATGAGGTGTCAGGTTGGCATTGCTCTGTTAATTACACTTCCTGTCTGATAGTCAGTGTCACACCTGCCTCAGCCTTTGAATTATTTAAAAATATTACTGAAACCAGAAAGGAGAAGTATAATGCATCAGAAATATATGGTCCCTCGAAAGAAGTAAAGATACTGAAATATCAAATGAATTAAGTGTTAAAGAATGAATTAAGCTGAGGTGTTCAAGAATGTCATCACTTTTAAAATGACTGAAATCTAAAGTTAATTGCACATAAGTGTGGGCAAGAAGCAACTTTTAAAGGATTTCAGCTTTTGTACCACAACTACAGTAATGTATGTTCTACAAAATCAAGACTGCTATTACTGATATTACTGATACGTGTCACTAACCTGTCTTATCTGAGCAAACTGACAGGCAGTGCAAAAAAACATTAAAATCAGTCCAAACAAAATCATTTATTACAAGGAATGTTCACTAGCAACTACAGATAAATGATTTCCAGCTGAGGATTTCTTAAGCAAGTGCTTCAGCTTAGCAAAGCAAACATGAATCTTCAGAAGCACTTAAAAATGGTGTTTAATACCAGTCTCCCTGCAATCTACACATATCTCTGTGCTCCTAAAGTGCCTTTGAAAAATTGAATCCCCTTCCCTTTGCTTCAATTAATATTTAGTCCCCATAAGAATGCAATTTTACCCCAATTACATCATGGTAAAGATAACTGAAGTGCATAGGAATGCAAGAATATTTCATTTGTCTGAGAATACAGAATGTTCAGAATCTTCTCCATGTCTGAATACCATGCCATTGAAAACCAATAGCTAACAAAACTGCATCCACTTTCAAGTCCTGGTGTTATGGCCCCTTTCCCCAAACAGTCAACTGATAATATAAAGTGCTATGAATGAGCTCAGCACGTGTTTTTGCTAGATGAGTAGCACCCACCAGACAGGACATAGTCCACATGCTCTCTCTCGCTGAGACGCACCAGGAATGTTCCTCTGCCATTTTCAGGTGAGAGGAGGAGGTTCACAGCCTCTAACCGGTTCATCTTCCCAAAGTACCATCTGAAATCATGGTTTTCAAAGTGATTTGTGATACTCCGAAAGACACATTGGGTTCAGAAAGATCGGAAGTTTAGCATTGAACAACAGCATTGAAAAGAAAAACGCCCTCAAAGTATCTTAAAACATTTTGTTAGTTATAGTATTGAAAAGAAGAATGGGATTAACATTTTGTCATTTTTTTTAAATCTGTGATGATAATTGTATCAACTGCGTATAATAAATAGATGGAAAATTCAATTGTGCGTCTAAGAACTAAGAACTTACGCGTTCCTAGTGAAGCTCTAAGGTGAGGCAACCTTTATTCATGGAAGCGAATGCGTTTTTTTTATTTACCTTTTCATAAGCTGAAGCAGTTTTAAAGTTCACGTGGAAAAGGAAGTAGCAAGTTATTAAAGCAGAATAATTTTATTAGGTCATTCAGTTTAGCGAAATACCACTCACACCTTCCTGCTGGTTTTATCACTAATCCTCAAAACCCGGTTGCATTCGAGATTTGATTTACTAATCATTATGGCATTCTGACCATTATTAACTCACTATAGCAATATATAGCAATATTAAACCTTAAAAAAAGAAATTATTGTTGTCCATTCATACCTTGATATAGAAATGCACATAAATCTACAACGAATCCCAACGCCATTCTTTGTTACTACTGTTAAATACTGTTTGCCTGTACTGAACCTATCATTAGACACCTGTCTTTGAATCAATCGCTTAATAAAAAAAGTGGGATTTCGAAAACTCAACGTGTACTAATAGAGAATCTGAACAGAGAATGTATTATGCGCTAAAAACAATTAAAAGAAACAAATAAAAAAGCATGTGGCCCCTATTCAGAAGCGTCCAGAAATGAATTTGTCCTAGTACTTACGGCTGCGCTTCTGCAGTCTCCCCTCTAGCGAGGTAATTATAGGGCACAAATCCCTTGCCCACAATTTGCCCATTGGGAGTCACTTTCGCTGCATTCCACCATTCACCTGTACGACTCAGTATCTTAAACCGGTCACCCATTTCAAACGACAATTCCTCTTCAGCTCTAGCGTGAAACGGCCAGAGAGCCGTGTACATGTCTCCGTCCGGAGTTTCTCCCTTGGACGCGGGTACCGGCGGTGGCAGGAGTCGGGGTGTACTCGGCGGCTGCCGCAGCGCTTCGCCGTTCTCCGTCTCGTCAGGTTGGACTTCGCTTGCGTGACGCTTACCATAACACCTGTCCAGCAGGCTGCGCAGGCAGGGGCATTTATCACCCCCAACTGTTTCACCCATAGGAGAGTCCTCGAGAAAACTGCGGTCTGTAATTCCCAACAAATTCTGAGAGCTCCCCAGTTCTCAGCCTAGTTCCAGTTGAAAGCGCGAGTTAAGAAGCCGACCACAAAATAATAATCATTGCAGCGTATTTCTCTCTCGTCACAGGAGCGGATAGTATTTTCACTAAACTACTTTTCTTTTACTGGACTTCTGCTTCCTCGTTATGCGGCGTTCGGCATTCACTTTAAAACCACGCCTGTTCGCATGTCTAGAATTCCAAGAGCAGTAATGCTACGAATAACGTATGGAAACAGCAGAACGCAGGTAAAATCTTAAGACGCTGACAATTTGATAACTACCAGCTAAAGACTGTTGTACTTGTAAAAAAGTGCCGGCAATAGAGACGCTCTTTTGCTCATTTACTATCCGATTAAATAACATACAGTACAGCGGATACACCCATCTGAAAGCTATTTGAAACTTTGCAGGCAAAACAAACACGTCCACAAAACAAACTTCATTGCAGCTACTGTTTGGCGATAGCGGTTAAGGGGTTAACTACAGCAAATTAAAAATACTGAACACATCACTCAAGTTCAGTTCCCCATTACAGACACCCGTTCTGCGGCAACATCCCCACACAAAATGCTAATTTGGGGAATCTGTTCATAGAATAGCGCGCGTTTTTTTTTTAAAATAAACTGTAATCCAAAATTGTATTTCTTTATGGACAATTGAATTTAATGAACATTTTTACAAAAACAGCTTTTAAACCCCCCGTCAAGTCAAAGGTGAAGCTTTAATTGTTAATGTACAATATTGTAATAAAGTACTTGCACAGTCCTGTTAAAAAATACACCATCATCACAAGTATTTTCATCATAATATAAATACTGCCTGTGTTGCACTAAATTACTAGATTATTCTCCATGTCTGGGAAAAATACAAACAAGCAGCTAAGTAATTAGTGATACAGACATGCTCAGTCACAAAGTCCTTATTTTTTCAAATCAAAAATATGCATTAACATTTTTAAGTAGTACTGTATTTCCTGAGAGATAAAGAACAAACCATACAAAACACTCATTTGGCCTTTTCATTCATTTTGTTTTCCATTTATATTAATGTGTACACTGCATGGAGTTTGTATGTTCTCCTCAAGTCCACATAGCTTTCCTTTGAATGGTCTGTTTTTCTCCAGCTGTCCAAAAAACATACTGGTGGGTTAATTGACTTCAGGGAAACTTGTCCATAGTGCAAGTGTGTGTCTGTGTCTGTCCCATCTAGGGAGCTCTCTGCCTTGTACGTGTTGCTTGCCCGGACAGAATCTGGCTTCTCTGCTTTCCAGAATTGGGAGAAGCAGTTAGAAAATGGATGGATGGATGGATACCATAAATTCGCACATGTATGACACTATACAGTATATATAACTTGAATCCCTTTCCTCCCTCCACTCCTTCACCATAATAGAGGGAGAAGGGCTTGAGTAAGTTATAATAATTGCTCCCAGTCCATACCTTACAAACAAGTTTGGATTTTGTCTTCTCAACCAGTCTAACCCAAGCTTCGTCATTGCCTGTGTGGTTAATTAACGTCACAGAAACTTTGCCGATATAAACCTGTAACAATGAAATTCCACCATGCACATGCCCACTCTGTTTTGTGCTCCATATCACAACCTCATCAAATTCTGTAGCAGTGCTGTTTTGAATTTGTCACACAAAATACTTAAATTATTATTTCAGATACATGGAAAGGGCCTTTCCATTTAAATGAAATGTTGTAACCTTTTAAAAATAAGTTCAATTGCACTTACATTTCATAAATAACAGTTAAATCTGTTCACATTACAGAAACCTTGGGAATTTATAGCCTATAGGCATGGGATAAACTGATGTTTATCTGCACTAGCTGGTAAAGCTAAAATATACAAGTTCAATTAAAATAAATAATATAAAGTACTAAAGAAGTACATTGGAGCTCAAGGAAATACCCAGAAATTAAGTTAGGCGTGTTCTACAAAGCCCAATGTGTAATAAAGTACTGAATGTGTTGTTTGTCCAGTGAGAACAGTTTCCTTCTGTTTCATGCCACTGGTTTCTATTGATAGATATTTTGAATATTTTCCTCAAGGAAATAATGGTTATTCCTGGTGTTAAAAAAAACAACAAGAGGTGGAAACCTTCTACCTTACATTTTCCTGCATATTTGAGAAGAGCCGGTTCCTGGGCTAGTGAGAATGTTGAATTAGAATACACCATAGCGGTATGACATAATGGCCCAGGTCACAGTTTTCTTTCTCATCCTTACTGAGCAGACCATGTGACAGCTTTTATGATTTAAACTCACCAGATCCTTTTTAGGTATGAAAATTATTATACATATCTCTTCATAAAAAAAGTATAAATCTGCAAATTTTCAGCCCAGTCCCCTGGTCTTCACGTTACCCCCAATAGTTCTTCTACTCTTCAGACTTCTATAGTCTTGATGTTCATTTTGGTGTAGATGGTGTCAAGTTGGCTTCGTAAGGCATGGAAAGATGGCCTGTTTGTGCTCACTTTATTCCAGCAGCTTAACATTATTTTGTAAATTGTCTGGCTGCATCTTGCAGGACAAGGGAGCCTATAGCCTTTACCCAGAGCTTCCAAAACGTCCCGGTTACTCATGCCTGTGGAAAGACAGGAAAGCAACATGAAGGAATGGTTTCGTAGTCCATTAGAAAAGATGAGGTCTCTAGCGTGAATGTAGCATTTTTTTGACAGATTTAGACCATGCACTTCTAAGTGCACAGATCAAACAAGCACTGCACCTGTTACACCACAAGACTGGTCCTGTTTTAGACATGTTAACTGTCAGACCTAACTCAATGAGATCTGTTTCACAGAGTAAACAGCAGGCAAAGGAGCACAAGTGAAGGACACCCCTTGCTGCATTATCTCAGGGAGTGCTTAGAAAAGAAACCCTGTTAACTGCTGAATTAACCCATGAGAGACTATATATTTAATTTGTTTGCCTGTTTCCAATATCCTGTAAACAGTATGTACACCTAAACCTATATAATACTTGTGTGAATGCACTTAGATTCTACACACCCTATATCTGAAACATTAGGTATTGGAGAAAGCATCAGAGTATGGTAAAATGTTTGTGTTCATGTGCGATTTCTGAGGACCTAGAAGACTTGTACACACCATCGTAAGGCAGCTTTCCATGTGTGATCATCTCATACAGCAGGATTCCAAACGACCACACGTCTGATTTTGGAGAAAACTGCTGGTGAACAGCAGCCTCTGGGGCCGTCCATCTCACTGGGATTTGCATACGTTTGTTTGAAATGTAGACATTATCCTGTAGGAAACCGAGATGCCCAGACAGTCAACATGCTTCACTGGAGATAAAGCAGGGCTTCTGATACACAGGACTATATATATTTTTAGATTCAATGTTACAGCTTTAGTACAATATTTTAAGTTATAGCTGGGGTCAGTGTGGGAGAAATGTGAAGAATACACAAACAAAATCAATGCTGCAAAACAAAATCAATATCATTTTAAAAAATAAACACTGCATTTTAAAAATGTTTTTTTCTGATAATTCTTGCTAGCTTTGATTTTTTTTTAACTTCCCCTCCCAGATCCTGACTTTATTCTTGCACTTAGCTTTGCATTTCTACTAATAATTTGACAGAGTTACTAGAATTTAAACCGTGTTGCTATATACTGTAGTATAGCAGTGTATTTAAATAAATGGAAAAGGGTATTTACCAATATTTTAATATTACTGTTGATCCCTGACATTTCCTCCTTTCTATTAAAATCTCAGTTCTGCAATAGTTTTTAGAAATTCTTTAGTTGAAAAGTCAGGGTTTGGTGACAAAGCACATAAAATGAAATCAAATGAAAGAGAAATCTTTGGGGTGCATTCATGTTACCTTAATGATACGAGCAAGTCCAAAATCAGCAACTTTGCACATCAGGTCGTCCCCCACAAGAATGTTTCGTGCTGCAAGGTCTCTGTGGACAATGTTCCGGTCCTCCAGGTATGCCATTCCTTCAGCCACCTGGCTAGCCATGTAAACCAGGTGAGCCGAGGACAGTCTGTGTCCCTCGGGTGCTGGGAATAAGGGAAAAAAACAACCAGTATGAAACAGGCAATACAAAGGACAAAGAATTACAATTATAATGTGTTATTTGGAAAGAATGATATAAAAGTTCAAGAACATTACTGTATTATTATGGAAATTTCACTGTACTTTTAACACAATGTAATAGAATTGCTTCCATCTTTTTTATAGATCAGTTGTTAAAATACTCTAGAAAGACCATTTTCAAACTCCACACTTACAGCAGAAAGCAGGTTTCAAACATCCACACAATTACAGCATATGCTGGTATTTTTTTAATTTTTTTTTAGTTTTAGTTTGACAACTGAGATTTCCGCAATCCCGCAGCTATTTACTTAGGTAACTTTGTGTATTTCTGACCATTTCTGTATGAACTAATTTTCTGAGCCCTCATTTACTCACTGGTCAGGTAGTTCTTCAGGTTGCCCCTCGTCATGAGCTCAGTGATGATGTAGACAGGCTCACCCTTGGAGCAGATCGCAACCAGCTGGATCAGTTTGGGGTGGTGGAGGCTCTTCAGTGCTTGAACCTCCTTCACAAACTCATCCTGTTTCATATCCTCTGCAGAGAATGCAGAACAAAGAAAGTGCACTTTTGTACATTTTAATCGTGTCAACCTGAAATGCAATCATTGCTTTATCAAGACCAAATCAAAGAGGGTGGAAAATTAGCAAGCTTCAATTCACATGCACTCAGCTAGTTGGATTTTTTATACTGAGTATGATTCTTCAAATAATATTGCCTACACTAGCCATTTGATGACAGGAAATCACCATGGTTAGGGGATCTAGAGAAGTCTAACCGTGCCCAACAACTACTGCTTCTCTCTTGACATTCACCAAAAAACATACTTCAGACATTGGATTTTCTCAACATCATGACTTTAATTGTGTCCCCAGGTTATGTTTATCTTTATCTAAAGTCTGTAGGATTTTGTCTTCTTGGATGAAATGAAGACAGGCAAACTTGTTTCGCATTACAGACCCACACCTGTCTCCTGGGGACTGTACAAAGCCACCTTCCAGAAAGGTCTCCCGACTTTTTGGAGACATCAGTATAAAAAAGTATTTCAGGGATGTATCTTGTGCATCTGACATTTAAGAGACTTTGGTACAGTGTGTGTCTGGTTTTGATGAGATTATGCTCAATCTTCACTACATTATTATACCAGAATAACAAACAGAAATGAAATGAACTACATGAAATGACTTCTACTCTGTATATCATGAATCTCTTGCAAGGGTGAAGAAGGAGTGGGAGGTAGCTTATGAGATTAACCAAAAGAGTTGTCGCTGAACTGAGCCAAACATACCTCTGTACATCTGTCACACTGAATCCTTGCGCTGTATAAATTATAAATCTGACTCAGTGAAAGTTGGTAATAGACTAGTTTTTACTGAAGAGATAATTAAGTGAAACACTAAAAGAGGAACAAAATGCATCTTATAGCACACATATCTGGGAAACTTCGTTAAAACTACACTCACATCATATTTTCCTTAAAATAACTATTAAACTACTATAGATTACTACCAGAAGTACAATGTTCAGAAAATGTTGTTTTACAAGCTTTAAAATATACTGTAACCTTTCTGCAAGTGTGTTGGTTACGTAACAAGGAAGAAAAACTTAAAAATGAGAAAGATATAAATTAACACTTTAAGACAAGTATCAATGTATGTGTAATGAGTTACCCAATTCCAAGTGGTAATTTAGCAGAAAAAACCTGCTGTTGAGAAGGATTTCAAACCACATTGCACAAAATCAGATATCATAGTCAATGTTGCACTATTATTCCTAGCAACAAGGTTTACAGAGGTACTTTCCCGTAATAACACATACTAATTCCTTCCAGCAGAGATTTTATTGCAGTAATCAAGTAAGGGCCAACCTATCGTGTATTATGTGCAGTTACCTGAGATATTACCATAACCTTTTAGACTGTGCTCTGCTGTTCATCTTCATGTCTGACTCAGTGGGTCAGGTAACAAACAAATAGGGAATTGGAACAATAGGTTTATTCCATGCTGAAAAGAGAAGAAAGAAAACAAAACATTTTGGCTGTGGAGTTTTCTTTCTTCTCTTTTCATCATGGAATAAACCTATTACTTGTTCCTTTGCAGCCTATGCAGCTACCCACCTGAAATAGGGAATTGGTTAGACTGACAGCCTTACCCCATGTATCTAAAACTGTCCCAGGCCGGAGACAGACAGTTAAACAATGACAAAGTTATTTTCGCTGTGAGTACTTTTTACATTTATATCAATATGGATGTATTAATCCTTTTAAAAAGGCAAAAAAGCTGGACTTTGTTCTGTAACTATATGAATTACAGTGGGGGTGACAGACATCTCCACATTTCTCCCACATTAAGAGCTCACCTTGTTTTAATATTTTAATAGCCACCTTTTGTTTTTTTGGTGTCCAGATTCCTTGCCACACCTCTCCAAAGTGGCCTTCCCCAAGCTTCCTCTGGAGCACAAACTCTTCCCGAGGTTTTTCCCAGGAGTCCGCATTTAAATGCTCCCTCTGTAGAAACAATGTACACGAAGACAGAGCACTGCAAGTAAGCATCAACAGAAGTTCTTATATTACCAAGCTTCTGTTGAAATAAATCAGATTGAGGCACAAATACAAACTCTCCAGGTGAATTCTCTTACAATAAGAACCCTGAAGCTTCCTTACATAGATTCAAATTTTTTTTTCTTTCCCCAAAACAAAGAAGAATGTGTGCCAGCCATCCAAACATATTCATCACAGCCTGGCTGGGCTTTATTATTGTGATTGACCAGCGATAACAGACATGCTGCTGTAGTTCAGCCACACTCATGCACAATGGGTTTAAAAAGATCTGATCATGTCACACAGTTCACTAACTGTGAAATTAGCTATTCTGCCATTGTGCAGTTGGATTGTTTAAAAGATATTTGCAAGATTTCCATGTCTTCAATTTTCTACCCTTTACACTGGTACTGGTTACTTTCAATTTTCATTCTTATTATATTTGCATTGCTGTTTTGTGTATGTGGACAGTCTTCACAAAGTTTACAAAGTACAGCAGACGTTTATTAAAGTGATATGTCTCAGAGACACAGAATAAAATGAATTAGTGAGTACATCAAAGACTTAAGGAAAAATACAGTATACATGACACTGTGTATATAAAATGCCATCTGTTTATCAGTGTAGTGCCTTTACAGCAAACGCAAAGTGTAAAATTAAAATGATCATCAGTGGTGTGGACATCAATGGATTCACACATGAAATTCTCACACAAAGCTCCTTTCTTTCAAAGTAGAAGAAAAAGAGATTGAAACAATGGCCAAAGTGTTATAAGGTAATTTACTCACTCCACAACCAGAATGCTGGCGAGAACTGAAGAAAAAACACTAAGCTACAGTAAGTGGCAAATGTTTTAATGATTCAGTTCTCTCATTTTTATTTACAGTATTTCAGCACAAACTAGCTGTAGCACTGGTGTTATGTTAAATGCATTCATACATAAAGTAGGAAAAACTGATAAGGCACTTAGTAAATAGCTTTATGATTTAAATTAAAAAATAACTAGTTGTACAACTTAACACATTGTTATCACAATTGTGAGCTACCAGTCCAAGTAAGATAACAGTTCACAATATTAAAATATTTTCAACAGTTATTTGCTTGCCAACAGTTTTAATTTGCTTGCATGTGAATTTAGTAACTCAAAACATTGAAATTCATAAACAGTATCAAATCCGGAGTAATATAAAAATACCTAGTCAAGTATCCCTTTTAAAGAGCAACTTCACTTACAGGCTTCATAACAAGACATGGATATTAACAACATACAGTATCAATTCTTCCATTTGTGTGATAATGACAGTTTTCTCTACATTGTAAATGTAAATGCTAGGAATGTATCAATTAAAATGGGCTGCAAAACTCTCAAAATATATATTTGCTGTAATAATCAGTGAATGTACATACCTGTTGCACACAAGCTTGCGTAAAAGGCACTCCTAAACTCTTACAGTTGGCCTGGTAGTGGCAGATCAGCTCCTCTAGAGTAGCAAACTGCTTTTTGTTAGAAACATAGTATGCACCATAGGGTGAGCGATACACTCGGAAATGCTGCACTTTTCCCTCGTTCCGAGCTGCAGAAAGGAAGACACAGCAGTTAGTTCAATTCATTTCTAGTTTATTTTCATTTCAATCCACCTCTCCATGCTGTTCTGATTGAAATAGCATGGTGTTACTGCTGCCCTTTGAGAATGTGAAAACTGTTGTATGCTGTCTGGTAATTTGGTTTCAGTTTAACTGTGCAATATGAATCAGTTTTTTCTGGTAACATAACAGAGCTTAGTTCATGTTTCCAGGTGGAGCACTTTTCAACCGGTAATGTATAGTAATATATAGTCTAACAACTTATGTATAGTCTCACTATTTGTTTTGTGAGAGCAAAATCATTAAATGCAATCATTCTCACCTGACAGGTATGTATTTCTCTTTATTCTCTTATTTATTCATTTCCCAGGAAAGCAGCATTTACAGAAATATGGGACATTTCCAGTATTGAATACCTAAGTCCCAGGTTTGTATAAGAGTAACAAGTACTCTTCTGCCATCTTATGGCTATGAACAGTTCTGTATGTGAGTAGAGTCAGTTTTGTCAAAACAGAGATGATAACCATGGGTTTTCTTCTGATCACATTTTTGTCTCAATTTTAATCTGTTATTATTTGTGGAGTAGTATCCTATTTTCCGGAAATCAAATAATATCTAGACATTGGGACAAATCAAATGCCTCAAATAAAAATGTAACTATCTGAAATTTGCTGAAACCTGCTCTGTGAAAGGGCCTGTAAACCTGTATAGTCCTGCTATGATGTATGGTAACGGTTCCCATCTTGGAATTATTCACTGTACTCTTTTCCCATATGAAGCTGATTTTAATCCAAATGGAAAGATTGAAAGCACCCATGCATTTTCCCCAAGCGTACAGTAGCTGTGTACTACAAAAGAACATGGCAGGAAAAGGCTCACCCGATATAGAATATTCATCACTGTTACTCTCGCTGATCCGGACAAGGAAAGAGCCACTTTTATTTGGAGATGACAAAAGCAGCTTCTCTGCCTGCTGTCTGCTAATGTTCCCATAATACCACCTGAAAGAAGACACGCCCACCAACACACACAGCCGGGTTACACTTCGTCACATAGGGCCATTCAGCACAATCTCTGGAAACCTATGAGATAAACACAGCTAATTTCAAGGTGATTTCTGAAAAGCAAATGGAAACAAAAGTATTCTTTTAACAGTAAATATGAAACACTGATCTGGTAATTACACCTAAAAATATGTGTATTTCAACAAAGGTCCGAAGAGCAACAGTTCCTATACCAAGCAATAAAAAAGCAAACAGAATGTTGCTATGTAATTATAACTGTAGAATTTAATTCAAGCCATGTTAATGTTAAAATTCGACAGTTCCCCAGCAAGACCTCATCTAGAGCATTGTCCATAGGGCTGGTCAAGATGTTACAAAATAACATTGCTACTCTGGAATCCATCCAAAGAACAGCAACCAGAAAAGTTCAACAGAATGTCCTACTCTAACAGGGAAAAGGAACCTTATCTTTGTCTTCGACACACAAGCCAGAGTACATAAGCGGAATCTGCAGGGAACTGCATTTAAAACTGAGAACAGGACTCACTCCTTCACACAAAGGCACGTGGGAGTCAGGAATAAGCGTTCTACGCATGTTGTTGAAGCTGTCGCCCTGGCTTCTTTCCAGAAAAAAGCTGGGTGAGATCTTCAGATCAACCAACTACTAGCAACCAAATGAGCTGAATATGCAAATGGGCTCCTTTTGCTTGTACTTTTTTATGTTCTTATGCTGTTATTGCCTTTGGCTAACAGATAGCCTTTATTAAAATCGGTACAATGGGTTTGTTTCACACACAGGCAGAGTGTAATTCACACGGTGTGGCTCTTCAATTATCTCTAGTGGAAATATGCATGAACAAGTTACCAAGGAATGATCTGTTAGGAGTACAACTTTCAAGCAGGTAAAAGTTACTAAATATTTCTTAAAACTGAACTTTGGCATCCAACCTAAAAAATGCCTGCAATTGACAATACAGCTAAATACGTTGTGATGACTTGAGAGTCGGTTGCTGGTATTGACTTACACATAGCGCTAATAATGATGCTGTGTTCTGCAAACACAAGACTTAAAGTTTAGAGTGCAAAGCCTTTCTTGAAATGTGACTGGCTGGGAGGAATCCCTATTAATACAGGATAGACTCTCAGAGAGGAGGATATCAAAACTAACTCCCCTCATTTTCTCTGTAAACATAATAAAGAAGAACTTCACTCTAACATTAAATCTAACTAATTACTAACATTGCAGCCAGGGGGAGTATAACTCTGAATGTTTGTGTAGCCAGTGTCAGTCATTTAACAGCTTAAGTAAAATGCTGCCACATATAGTTTTGACATGAGATCAGGCCTGATTGTGTGCTATCTACATTGTTTTAGTTAACGGGGAAGATTTTCATTCACAGTTAAATTAGTAAAAACTTTTTAAAAAGTGCCTTGAAATTATGCATCTAGTCTTTTTCTAGGTTTACCACAAGGAAAGTGCTCTAGTGTATGTCTTCTCCAAAACCATTTTGCTTTCATCCAAACAGACAGTGAAGTGAAGTACTTGAACTCTTTGCCATCAGAATAGCATTACAGTGACACGTTCTTGTTCTGTAGGTATTTGGCAGAGCTCCATGAAATTAAGGAGGTTTCGCTGAAACTCTGAATTTGCAGTGTTTCCATTTAAAGGTCCCAAACAATATAAGACTACGCAATCATGTACATGTTTAGTTTACCAATAAAATTGATTAATAATGTTTAGTTTCAAATCAAATAAAACAAAAATGGTTACAAGTTACTGTACATGATGGCTGTTTTTTGGAGTGTGGATTTGGAGCAACTGAGTTTTAAACGCAGTTGTGTTTCTTCTCTTAAAATCAGATACCTATGTTTTATAACTGTCGCAAAGAGAGTTTTGAGATTTGTAGACCTCTCAGTTTAAAGTCTAATGCACTTGCGTATACACAATAAACCTCCCCAGTATTCATCAAAGTGTGGCCAAATTGTGGAGTTCAGTTTCACAGAGGCCATAAGTGAATTCCAAGACTTTACTTTTTTATTTTCTAAATAAACTTCTAGGGCTGTAACACTGCTGCTTGTACTCAGTATTTGCACTGACTAAAAAGGTTTGTTTCATTCGTTAGTTCTTACAGTTTCTAAGAAAAAAAAGGAACCTAACAAACTACATGTTGTTGGTGCTATGTGCAAACTGGATTAATTAAATGTTAAATATGGTTCTATGATTGCAATACAATTCCAAATTGTGTAGTTAAGTTTAGTTAATCAATTGCGATGATTAAGACTGAAAGTAACAGTTTAGCCTAACATGAACTTAAACCAGTGGTTTTAACAGGTCATATTGATCTTTAATACTGGACTCCCTACAGCTAATCTAGATAAGCAAGTCTAAGACTATTATTATTCAGGTTATGTGAAACTACTATAGTTTCTGGCATATTTCCCACTTTACTTTGGAGGGGTTACTTGATATCATAGAATTTTCCAGTCTGCAATGAAACAGACCTTTGTAGACACTACTGCACCTATTAATATACAGTACCTGGACTTCATTGGGTAGGAAGCTCACAAGCATAAAAATGTTAGAAAGGTGAAGTAATCGTCATCATCATCTCTGTGATTCAAAAGAAGAGTTATGCATGTTGTCATTGTCATAGCCCTGTTTCTCTTTGCTCTTATTTTGTGTTGCTCAAGTGAATCATGAAACCATGATGGTTCTAGAGACTCTGCAAGACTTGTCAAGGAGATAAATGATAAGTCCTAAAGCCATGATAACTGACCTCAGTTCATTTCATTAATACAATCAGCAGTTTCCTTGGGAAAGTGATGGCTTTACAGTATATAATACACACTATCGTGTCAAAATGAAAACCCCCCAATACCTTTTTAATACAGTGTGTTGATGCCTAGTCTATATTTCACCTAATAGTATTATGTTCTTAATATATATATATCTTTTTACTTGTACCATGAATATTTAATGTAATAATGATATATGGAGATAATCAATATCTGAAAAGCCATAGATGGTTGCATGTTTATCAGTTCTATAAAACTTCATGCGTGCATACTTTGAGTTTGATTCATAGTTGCATGTTCATTTGACAACGAATCAGTTACAGAAACTTATAAATTACAGTCGACACATCATTAGTAAATAATATGCTCTTGCAAAACTTTTTTTTTTAAAACCAAGCAAAAAGTAAATGAACAAGAAGACACATAACAGTCACGAGGCGACTCACCGGTGATTTGTAAATTCATCTCGAATCACAGTCACGTAGTTGGCCGGCACTAAACCAGACTCCAAAGACCCAGAGAGTTTTTGGGCGAATACGTAATCTCCAAGCTTTTCGATGACAGATAATTTATCCCCTTCTTTCACACTGAGTTCCTCCTCGCTCCTGGCTTCGAAATCAAACAGAGCCTCGTAGAACTGGACTGGCTTCTCTTTCGGCAATGGTATCTTGACATCACCTGAGACGGTGAGGATTTCGGCCGAGCGGCTCACAGGATAATGAAATTCGGGCCAGATCCGGTCCCAAAAAACCCTGAAACACGGCATGCATTTTCTACAACAGTTCTCCATCCCGAATATATCGCAGTCACCTCGGGCGAAGACGAAGGGACTGAAATACGTCTGCCGAGAGAAAGCAAACAGATTCGATCAGAACATTCTCATCACGAGTAATTGCCGAAACATGGCTAAAGTGTTTTCTCTGGGACTGCACTTGCCCGGGCTGCAGATCAGGCTCAACCTGTTTTGGTGAGAGATGGAAACTGAGGTCTTGGTGAATGCGGAAGCGACCGCTTGGGGATTCGTCTGCTTAAAAAAAAAGGTAAAGAAATAATGGGAAATTTGGATAACTGAGATGTCGGCGGTAACCATCTATATTTATTAACGAACTATAAACGAAAAATTATTATTCTTGTCTTTCGATATTAGCTATATATAAATGTTGTGGCTGCAACTTTCATTGTGCAATTTCAGGTTTTGGGGGAATGTATTTGGTTATATGGTACCGTGCACGCCAACGCTGATACTGTGGAATATTTTAAAATAATCGCACATATCTAGATGTCCATAGCATTATGATCTTCATTATTATTGTGAAAAGGCTGACTTGAAACTGCAAAGGCGGAAATTGGAGGCATTCGATAACGCTATTTGCACTCCCAAAGTGGAGAGCTAATTCAGTGACCCAGATAAAATGATCTCACGTGTCATAAAACAAAACAAGGGCGTGAGAAGTAATGGAACAAATCTCACCTTGTTCCAGAAATACCCAAGAACGGATGTAGTTCACGGGTCTTTTTTCTTTGTATTAATACGACAGGCATATCGTTCAGACAGAAAAGACAGACCGCACAAATGTATTTTAGCCTACTGTTGTGAACGCGTTAAGAGCCTAGAAAAGTGAAGAAGCAACTGAATTGTTAAAATTTCTCTAGAACCTCTCATTTTCCTTCTTAGTTAGGAGCACAGCAGGAAATCCTGCCTACTGTGACATCTCCTCACGTTAAGACATTTACCTGTTGAGACGGCACATTTATGTCTGGTTGTGGTTTTTTGTTTTTCTTACGAGAAGACGAATTAAAATAATTGTCTACTCAGACGTATGAGATACACTATGTCGAGGGTAAAGTACGGAAACTTTGAGTTTACTCCTAAAATCCCCTTCCTTCACAGAAGTACTTCCTTACGTCTCCACTAGATGTCAAGGTATTGTTCTATAATTTTTATGATCTGCAATGTTTTTTTCCCCCGTTAAATGATGTTAAATGCACAAACAAGCACTAAACCAAATACTATCAGAAGAACATCTTCTAGAAATGTACAGGCAACCCAAACATTGAGCATTTAACAGTTTTACAGAGCACTTCATTCAAAACGTGAACAGTCACAAATTCTGCATGGGCTTCAATATTGCCTCTCAGCAGAAGGAGACACTCAGTTTCACTCCTAAGGAGTCATGGAATAGCTTCTGGACTGGAACTCGCTCTGTGTGCATTTTGTGTAGTCTCCCCTGTGTTCCTGTGGGAATTTTCCAGATGTTATGGCTTCCTCCCTCCTTTCAAAAACATGCTGGTTAGTGGATGCTGGTTTCTCTAAATCCCTCCTATGTATGCGCTCATGTGCATGGTGACGCATAGGCTAGCACTGTTGTCTCACCGCACTGGGGACCTGGTGTACTATCTGTGTGGAGTTTGTATGTTCTTCCAGTATTCATGTGAGTATCCTTGCAGTGCTCCGGTTTCCTCCCCCCAGTCCAAAGACATACTGGCAGGTTAATTGGCTTCTGTGCAAACTGGCCCTGGCGCATGTGTCTATGACTGCTCTGTGATGGACTGGAGTTCTGTCCATGGTTTATCCTGCCTTGCTCCTGTTGTTGGCCAGTATAGGCTCTGGCCGCCCCGTGACCATGTATTGGATAGAGCAGTTAGTGCAGGGGTGGATGGGTGTGTCCATGCGTGTAGACTAAACAAGATAATTTGGAGAAGATTATTTCACACAAGGCCTTGTGATTAATGGATGACCTCTGAAAACATGCTCTCTACTCAATGCAGTTCTATTTTTACATGAAACTGTTTTGTTTTTGTAAATAAATGTTGAGGTTAATGTAAATTATAAAGCAGTTGCAACAATCCATGTAACTGCTGAAATGGACATTAAAGGCATACAAGTTTGACTTTCAGTGGGGATGTCAGTTTTATTTTTATGGTTGTTGTGTATGGAAATGTTTGCGTTCTGTGTTTGATGTGTTTTGAAAATAAAAATGTGTTCACAAAATACATTTTATGCATTTAATGTTTTTTTTAGTTGGTTAATACAGAACTCTTTGTTGAAAACATCCTGCATCATACATTTTAGAATATTGTTAATTAACAAATAATGTTAATAAACAAAACTGCTGTAACTATGTGCAGTATGGTTTGTTTTACACTACTGTAGGTTTATGAAAAAGGTTTTCAGAACTAAACATCTGGATTAACAACATTGATTGTAAATAAAACACTGAGAAGCATTCAAATTCAACAGATGCTTCTGGTTCCAATACTACTTTGTTGTGTGTTGCGTCTCTGTATATTTGCCTTAAGTGAGTAGAATGAAGAACTTAAATTGGAAGAAAAGAAGATAATTTTCTCAAATATCTGTAAATCTAAAAATACAATCAAGATGCATATATTTGTATGTCAAATTCAGATTATCACGGAGCAGGGATAGCAAGAAGTTGCACTTGGCTAACTTGCAGAAGTAAAGAAGGCATGGAATATGTGAATGCATGTATTGATGTGAACATCAAGAACATCATTATTTAATTAACATAATCGTGAGAGATGATTCATTCTCCTAGATAGAACACTGATGCTCAACAACTAAGGGTTCACAGTCCTCCCATCAGCACACACAGGTTTTCCTCCAGTAAACCACAAAGCATGAGTGTTGCTGCACCTGGACAGTGCACCACAGCTGTTGAAATGCCAAGCTGAGATCCAAGTGCGGGAATCCATTTTCTCCTTGAGGTTGGAGTGCTACCTGTGGTAGCTCAATGTCAGAGCATCGTTCCAGTGGTGCTTCAGAGAATAAACAGCGTGTGCATTTGCAGGTTTGATTAGCTGATTGCCTGCCTAGTTGGGGAAAGGGCACATTGACAGGTGGCCTGACTGTGTCCTAGCAGGCTTGGGAAAAATGCGTGCACTCCTGGGAAAGCTGTGGTTTCCCGTAGCAACAGAAGGTTACGGTTGCTGCCAGCCGGGGCTTGACAGTGAGGAATTGGAGATTTGCTCACGCTCCGTGGATTCCTCTTGTTTTTGCAGTTTCAGCTCACATTCACCATCCCCCTTCCTGATGTGTGTGCACTCCAGGTGACTGCGATAGCTCCCCAAACCCTGCGTGCTTCGGTCAGCCATGCGTGCTGTCATAGGGAAGCGATTGCTTGTTTCTGATCTGTTCTGGAGGCTGCTACCCTTTGGTATCCATTCAGCTCTTAAAAGCCTCAGGGGGGATCTTATCCCTTCTTAACTTAATTCAGCTGTTAAAGTGGTCATGGTGGAAAAAATGCTTTAAGCTCTGGCTATGACAATGATAAAGATGTATTGAAAACAGTAGAGTGGTGTTGTTTTTATTCCATTTCAGTGAGACTAGATTATCTCAGGCTCCTGCTGTACTTTGAGGGAAAAAAACTGACCCCCTTAAACAGGCTGCAGCATCATTGGGTTCTGAGACATTGTTTGGTTTAATTTCAGGCACAAACAGAAGAACTTCTAAGTGAAATCAATAAATGATAGATATCAAGAGCAAATGATGAGGAACAAATACTTATGCCTTAATTAAGATGATTTCATAAATGATAAAGGTGTGACTAACAATGAAATGGAAGATTTATGTTTGATGTCCTTAGTAACAACTAGCAAATGAAAATAAATGGAGCCAACCTTAGGAAAACAAAAGAAAATGATTAATTATTCATATTTAAAATGTATACTATATATATATATGTGATAAGGGTAAAGTGCAATAGATAAGTTAATAAAATCCTGTATCTCTAAACAACTGATTTTCAAATTTGTTTGCTAGAGCATGAATGGAATTTGTTGGGAATTCAGAATAAACATGAAACAGATGAAAGCAACTGAAACTGGAGCAATTAGAGACTAATTTTTTCACATTTTATCAATTCTGTAGCAAAGGGGCTAATTTACAGAAAGAAAACAGGGAACTTGAAAAGGTGGTTGCAGCCATGCGTGTCTCAGAACAAACAGGCTTGTCTATAAAGAAACCACTAATCTGCTGTTCCGTGATGAATGCAATACTTACCAGAAGAAAGCTGACATCTATAACATTCAATCACTGGCTTTCATCCCCAAGGGAGGATTTGAAAAAGCATTGAAATCTGATCCCCAAACACTCCTAAACAGACAATTCTTATTTTGTGAAGATAAGAAAGCAATACTTGAAAATAGGGAAGCATTTGTTCTATTTTGCTTTCACCTTGAATGTGCCCTTGTGCAAAGAGTCTTCCTGTCCTCCAGCATGTTATTCTCCAAAAATATCCAAACGAATGGCCATAAGTTATTAACATTACTATTGCAGTATTACAATTTAATCTTTTGGCACAGTGCTGCAAGAGACCAGGGAATCCCAATCCTCAAGTGTCAATAATTATTTTTTGCACAGCTATCTTCTTTTTACTTCTAAGTTGGTTCAATTTTGGTAACTGTTCAAAGACAATACTGTATTTCACTATCCAGATCATTTTAATGTTAGAAACCTAAATCTTAAAACAAGGTAATATTTACTAAATCAGCAGCAGCTCTATCACCCTGCAATTCACAACTGGCAGCCCACTGAAGCTAAGCAGGTGTGAGCTGGCCAGTACCTGCTGGAAGAGGTGTTTGTGGGACCAGTAGGGGACACTCACCCTGCAGTTTGTGAGTCCCACTACAGTGATGGGGACAGTGTACTATATAAAAGCCACTGTCCTTCGGATGAGACATTAAACCAAGGTCTTGACTCTCCATGGTCAGTAAAAGTCCCATGGCTTTGTAATGATTAAGCAAAAAGAGTAGGAGTATAAACCTGTTGTACTGGCTAAATTTCCTCCGTCTTGTACGAATCATATCCTCCTAATAATCCCCATCTATTAACTGGCTTAATTACTCTCTTCTAATTCCCATTGATAGCTGATGATCATCCAGGTGGGGGCTACACATTGGTGGTGTAGAGGATTCCCCATTACCTGAAAAGGGCTATATTACTGTATGTGGAAGGAATAATTGTATTATTATTATTATTATTATTATTATTAAATCGGCAGTGTAGAATGAAAGCTCAGTTAAAAATTGGAACACAGGACACACTTTCTTTAATATGATCAAATATGACTGCTGCATCAGCTTAACTTATACAAGAGCAGTTTACCTGATGGGCTGTGCTTGCCAGATAGGTTAATGTCTAATTTCTGGCATACAATGTATTGTGGCTTCTCAAGTAAAAAGTTTTTTTTTTTGTTAAAAACACACCCATTGATTCTTCTCCCATTGATAAAATACTGTGGGGTCTTTTAAAAAAGTAAACTAAGCAATGTCAAAGATCTTAACTTAAAATGGAAATCAGCTTCTGCTTTGCTTGTTCCAACTGATAATTTAATAGTTTAAGACATAATTTTCAAAGGTGTGTCCACTCTACTGAAGTTTAAAATATCCCTTTTAATCTACATCTTTGTGGTTGAATTATATTGTTTTACTTAAAAAACATACATTGCAAATGTATGTACCTGGTTGAATAAATAAAAAATGTAAAAGAACTCTACATTAGGTTAAAACATCCACCTTGTCTTTAGAAACATTTTAAGGTAGCCACCTGGGAATTTACTGTAACACTCTTCAAGTGAGAAAAATACAATCATTCTTCAAATCATCATGCATGTTAGATTGTTTTCTTTCGAAAGCTATGCAGTTTACATAGCTGCTAAGCCTTGTTTAGAAATAATTGGTTCAGTTTAATTTTTAAAACAATAGACAAAGACAATAGACATGCAACACACAGACTTCTATAATAACCCTCTTGAATTAACATTTATTCAATAAGAATAATGCTGCAAAGTTTGCCAGAGCATAATTCAGTTGAAACATAAAAAAGCTTACAAATGTTCCAAATATATAATGTGAAATTAACAAACAAATGCTATTATTGTCTGCATGAAAATGGAAATGTATTTCCTTTGCTCTACTGCAACTGACTTCACCCGGTTAACTTGTTACCACAATCTGAGGTCACTCCCATTAAATGAATTACATATCGTGCATTTAATGAGCACTAATATGAGTCTTTATTGTAATCTGTTTTGTTATGCTATAGGATTTTGGATTTAAATTATAGCTGGCCATGTACTGCAGTGATACTTGATAAGTTAACAAACATCTTTGTGTCGGTAAGGAAGTCTGCACAGGCTGGTGACCAATACAAAATACTAGCTACTATTAGCTCAAATGTTAAGCTTTTTATATGTTAGCTTTTTTATTTTTTTATTTTAGCCAAAGAATAATATTGCATCAGGATTAATCAATTTTGTAGAGAATGTTTTTGTAATTGAAATTCATGTTTATGGCTGTATATAATAGAAAACTCTGGTTCCAATGTTAATTTTGTTTTGCATGAAATATTTATATGCTGCATTTGACATGTAGAGCTAATCCCTTCATTTAATAGCCTACTGGATAGGGCTTTTTAAATTTTAGGTAAAAACTATATACAAGCATGTAGAACAAAATATCAGCTGAGATGTTCTCTCTTGCTTATGGATAATGCATTTTACAATCATTCAGTTAGAAACTTACCTGGTAGCCTTACAAAGGTTTTAAACAATACTAACAATATTTAACAGTTGTAGAAAACAGAAGTTTAACAGCCATTTATCCGGGCTGGGATTATCTTTAAACGTCATGCTTGCGCGGTGCGGTACATATTACCGTTTCGTAATAATATTAAAACACGATTCAATGTTTTTTTTCGCATAAATGAATATTACTATAGTAGTTTATTATAATTGACCAAACGGGAAACTGGAATGTTTAATCTTGTACCACAAGAGGGAGACAAAATATTACCGATAAAAGAAATGTACAACTACATTTATAGCGTTTATACATGTACTGTAGTAAACAAGCCTGCTGCAATCCATTGATAATCATCCACACGGCTTCAGATTTTGCAGGAATATCGTAAATGTCAATGTACTTTTCACTGA